TAACTTAAGATCAGCAGTAAAGGTATGCTCCCAATACATTTGTCAGACTTTGTACTAAAGAGCAACCAGAGGTTCTGAATCCGTTGCTTCATTTGTATCTGATTTCAGAATATATTTTTTACATCTTGTATTTCACAAGATTTGGGACACGAGAAGGGCAATTTAAAATAAACATTATTGTAATTGTTGTTAATAGTTCCATCGGAAAAGGTAAAACAGAAGGTTATACTGGAATGAATAATGCGCTGGCCTTGGTCACAGTGGACTGTCTGGTGTGTGGGTGCAGCTCTACCTGCAGGGTTTTATAGCGGTATTGAAACCTACACCATTTCCCACATCAATTCCTGCATTTGCATATTGATGGACGATCCATTATGGTGGTATCGCCTACACCAGCCTCGGGCTGTGATAGCGTTCCTCAGGAATGTGCAAAGAGACTTTATCAAGCACTTCATCTGTATGATCTGCATCTGCGGAATGTCTCTGCTAGGTGCAAAAGCATTGCCAAATCACAAACTTTCTCGGCATCTTAAAGAGCTAATAAGACTAGTTTCTCTAAAGGCTAGGGATTGTCTAAAGCCTAGGTGCCCATTCTTTATCATTAACTATTGCCGTTTTCAATAATTTAACGACTCATTTAACAGAATAAAAATATAGTTTGCAAATCCATATACAATTCATTAAAGCCTTAAAATGAAAATCTATATTTATTCTGGTACTTCAAATAAATGCTTTGATGTCCTGTTAAATGGTTTGTCATGTTCAGCCCAGTCCCTTCTCCATTCCCGTTCTCATTTACTCGTTAAATAGTTCAGATCATTGAACGGATTATTTTCTGAATCGGACAAGTCATACCTTGTGTTGCGATCCTGGGCAGAGTCGGCAGATCTCTTGCCCTAGGGGGTTGGGTTGGGACAGCCGTAGTTTCCTTCCACCAAATCCGTATTTAGTTCCAGCAAATTCATATCTGTGCTATTCAGCAGCTGGCTTCTTTGTCACAGATTCAATCAAACCTCATGACGATTCAGTCCCTTTTTGTTTTATGGGCATGAATCTCAGCTTTGTGTTTTGAGGGAACTGCTCCCATTGCTCAGTGTTGAAAAGCCATAGGTCATACTGTAGTTTAGGACGGACCAGGAAAAGTGTGGTTTTTCGAAACGTTTTGCCCTTGCAGTTGGAACACAGAGCTGAAAGGTGCAGCTGACAAAGATGGTGAAACGGAATTCATGAGCAAGAATGCATTGTTCATTCTTGTGGGAAGAAATTTGCCCACGAAGGGGTTGATAAGCACAAAAATAGTTGCTGAAGGAATCCCAGATTGGTCCTTTGTCACAAATGTGACCGTTTCTTTTTACATAATATTTTCAGGCAAACTAATCTTTAAGGATTGCCCTCGTTTGTCATAATATTAGGAAGCGTGTGTGTTCCTTCACCATACATTTTCACTGAAAAGAAAGAAGCAGTGTAACCTGTTTTTTTTTAACAAACAAGGATTTTTTTTTCATCGGTTCAGTCATGTCACGGTAATGAAATTGTCTTGTAGTTATTGCAAACAAGGCTGTTTTTTCACAAGTCAAATACAACTTGGCAGCATGTGAACAGGAGTTGCTTTTTCAAGTTGACTTGGTAACAGTAAAGTGAGAATAAGTATTACTGGTAATTAAAACTTTATTTGCATTCCAATCTAAATACCAAATGTATTTGATCATCTTATAAACGTCTTAGCATGGAGGATGCTTTCGGCAGTTGATACGGCCAAGCACAGTCGGTTTAGAACTGCGTATTTCTCCTGTGCTGCCGTCTTCATTGGCTTGGGTCGGTCTTGGCTCCGGCGGTGCTGGAGACAGCCCTCCGATTGCTTTATCTCAGCCCTTCTCTTCTATAAATACAAGTGACCTAAATGTAACATGGTACAGAGAGCTGTGGGGGTGCCATCGGCGTGGCTTGCTTAGTAGGCAAGACAGTATGACATCAGCTCGTCTGATACCGCTGGCCGGGACTGTAGTCGGACCAAGGGGCTCGCTGATTGGCCATGGCTCAAAGTCTGGGGAATACTGTGTCCGGGAGATATGCAGGTCCTCCACCAATGCTGTCATCAGTAACCGTTCCTCAAGCTGCGGAAATCAAAACCCAACTCCGTGCTAATCCTTTGGGTCCCCCCCACCCCCGTTTATTATAGCCTGGGCAACTAGCAATGCTTCGGCTTCGTCATCTGGGGAAGTTCAAGCGCTCAGAAGTGGCAGCAGCCCAGCTTCTCAGGCCCTGCCAGCCCGTGAGTGGTACCGCGGTGACAGACCGTGGGCCTGCGAGAGGATCTCTCCCGACAGAGCCCCGGTGGCTCGCTCGCTCTGAAAATAGCCGTTGTTTCCAAGAGGGAGCCGCCACCGCCTCAGAATCGGCACATCTAGGGTTGCTGAGTGTTGCATCATTCTCTCGTGTGTTCCCCAGGCATCATTCGACAGCAGTCTCATACTGGATGGCCGTGACTAGAAATATCGAGAGTGATTTGTCTTTTTTTCTTTCTTAAGGCTTAAAACATGCATACCTACAGTATCCACAAGGTGATATACCCTTGATCTATATACAACTTGTTTGTTTTGACACCCCCCCGTTATCAAATCATTTGCTTTAAAATTCCAGTCATACCGATATTGTTGTGGAAACACTTTTCCAGTGAGGTGGAATCAAGTAAAAAATAACATGGAGAATGTAGTATAGCCTCAGAATTGTAGGTCTACATGTCAAATGCTATAGATCACAAGACGCATCTTACTAAATTACGATGGTATAAATTTGAGAGTATCTGCAAGCGTAATGTTTGTTTTTCTTTTGATGACATAATATGAATCATATCCAAAATCCTTCAGTGTGTTGCAATATACAGTATCGTGAAGGGAAATGTTTGCATAGCTCCTGATTTCATGCATGCTTAGAGTCGGAGCCAAACATAAGTGGGCCATATGGACTGGCTGCTGCTGAATGCTGATTGAAAAGACAGGTGTGCTCAGTGTGAGTGTGGCTGCAGGGACGCAGGCGTGAGCCTACAGAGTATCTGCAGGGAGCATAAATGCAGAGCAAAGTAGTGGTTTCTGAGAAATCCTCGTTCACAGATTAATCATACCAGACTTCGAACACTGTACATCTCCAGACAGCTGGAACCGTTGCTGGATTATCTCCATGAGGGTGGTATGTCATAGTAGGATTTTTCCAAGCTTTGGTAGATGATGAAGGTTTTCTTTGTATTTCGAAAGGTCACTTGTTGCTAAAACTTCTGTCTTAATCCCATGCTTCATTCTCTACTCAATATTTCTACTCAATATATCTACCCAATATTTAGAAATTCCACGCAGGATTACATAATAAAAACCTTCTTTGAAACGTCAAGACTACACATTCCACATACGATGTGCAAAGATCTGGCAGCAATTGACCTCTATCTGAGGTAGATTTGTATCTTAATATGCAGATTAGTACATTGGACCACTGTCGTGAAACATAAAATACAAATGAATTGCATTTTTTCATGAACTGCTGAAGTCGAGCACAGAGCTCCATTAAGAGGTTAAAACTGGGAGAAGTAGGTCACCTCTAAAATTACAGAGCAGAACAGTGAACTCCTCTCACCCCGCAATTGCAAAACGCAAGAACAACGAACTTCTCCAAAAACAAAAACTGTGAAACAAGCCTTTCATGCAAAGATTTCTTTTGGGTTTTTGGCTGTTCTCTACACTTATTTATCTTTTTAAGTAGCGAGGCAATCAACATCATCCATTTTGTGCAAAGTGAAGTCTTAGTCATTTAAAATTAAAATTTCACACTGCAGTTTCTATCTTTGATTTCAATCCTACACTTTTTCCCATATTAACATTTCTGGCAAAGGTCAACAGAAATGCATCCTTTTATTAGATTTGCCCTGAAGCTAAGAGCTTTCTCAGTTTGGTCTCTTCTCAGTTTGGGGGGGAAAAGTTTTAAGTAAAATAACTTGCACTGCAATTAGATAAATATTTGTTTCATAAAATTATAGTTTTTAATGTGTTTTTTTACTAGCTTAACTGCTTGGAAATGTACTACTGTAGCAATACTGTCCTTGGAAATAAGGATCTTTGAATTAAAACCACTTTTAGGATTCTGCTCATGAAATCATGTTACATAAGCTAGAATGAAGTGACTCATGACTTTTGATAAGTCTGAATCCCTTTTGGAATTTCCTTTACAATGGATCTGAAAGAGAAACAGAGCCTCGTTATGGGTGTCCGTCTTCTTGATTTAGATGAGATTTATTGTCTCAAATTTACCTAAAAGCTGTAGACACCTAAAAAGGAAAGACAAACTTTTTGTCGTACTAGTTTCTTGCCGGCCACTTGCTTTTCTTGAATTGTTCACACAGTTTGTGTGATCCTATAGTAAACCTCATGGCAAACTGAGAGCAGACTTTGTGTATGATCACTGGGAGGTGTGCTGTCTTTCAAACCTGCGCATCGACGAAGTCAGCATGCCTGTTTACCTTGAGAGACGTACTGCCGACGTTTCATTGTAGCCACTTTTAGAGCATTGCCACCGGGAACTGAGGGCCAGAGGCTGGAGACGAAGCGTGCGTCTGTCCGTGTTGATTTGAACTACCCAAAGCATGTGTGAAAGGGGTTCTCCTCAGTCCCTTACAGGCACACCCGGGAGTCAGTGTTATAGAAATGCGAGGCGGCCATTCGGTGGATTCTCCTGTTTGAATCTAATCAAGTATGAAGTTTATGGGGCTAATCTCCAAAGTAGCAAGAATAGTAAAACGAGGGTTCTATTCAGTTCGAAAGCCGCATGCAGTGTTATGCAGATAGGTGGCTTGATTGCAAATGTTTTAGGGGTTTGTCGGCACCAAGTCCGTGCGCGCACTGGCATAAACATGCGCACAATCATTGGCACGCTTAAATAAAGTGAGAATAATGAAGTGTCAGTTGAAATCATTAAAGCCCTTTCTGTGCCGCCTTCTCTCCCTCTCTCACCGGCAGACTCCCAGCGCCTGGGCAGAAGAATGTTCCGAAAAGAAGAAAGGCTCTCACAAGCGCTCGGCTTCCTGGGGCAGTACCGACCAGCTTAAAGAGGTCAGGAACATTTTTCTTCTCCCCGGCTTTGTTCCATTCACAGCGAGGTCAAGACAGTCCTGCGCGCCGCTCCATCCATTCCAGCCCGCCTTGGCCTTTCTGCAGATTTGGAATCATTATCATACGATTCTTGGTGTGCAGTGAACCACAATGGTACTGTTGTCATGTCAAATTAAGGCCCCTGTTTAGGCCAAGGTTTTCATATTGCACTTGCTAATGGCTTACCCCCCACGGGACTTATCTTTTTTTTCATCTTCTTTCCATTTGTACATGAAATTGCCAAAGACATCACGCATCCGCCCCACCCCTCAGCATATGGGCTTTTCAGAGAGAAACGTCTCTTGAGGATTTTAATTTCCATCCATTAAATGTTGATTGGGGAATTACAGGGCATCTTTCAGTAAACACTTGCCACCAAATATGCCTTTATTATTATTCATAGTGTTTCGGGATTCATGTGCATCACTCCAAGCACATTTTGCGACACGTGTATTGTAGCTGTCTCCATATGAAACATCAGATGTGGAGCAGAAGTAAGTTGTTGCCCAAGCTTTTCCTCTTGCAAAATCTTGTTTTCCCAGATTATTTAGAGAAATAGATTTTTTTGGGTGATCCTGTTGAAGAAGCGAAGGTTAATTCTGAGTAAAATGTGTCATGCATTATAATTGAAAGCACTTAGTGGTGCTTTTCATCCTTAGTGTGCTCTTTAAATAAATGCTAATCTATCAATACAGGTTACAATGTCGGTGACAATCGTGTTAGCAACCTCTGAAAATCCAGAAGGAAAATCTTCCAAAGGAGTCCAGAGACTCTTTACTTTTTTTTTGTTTTCAATTTAGCTATAGAACTCCTTACCTTGAAAAAAATGACTTTTTACTTTTTGACAAGTTTAAAGGTGCACTAAAAAAGTCCAGTTAAAGCACATAGATGTGGGGGAAAAAAAAGACAATTTTTTGTTTCGCATATGATTAATTTGGAAGCTTTCACTTTTTCATTGAAGGGGCATAATATATCAGCCACAGGAGGTAGTGAAAGCGTTCTTGACATTTATTTATCTAGAATGAATAAAAACAGTCAACAAAACTATGGAAGACACTTGTTTACCCTTAACCGAGAGATGGTTAGTACACCTACATACCAACTGAGTCATCACTTCCTGCAAATGGAAGCCCACCTGCGTCTGAGAGCTTTGTGCAGAGCGTATTTTCCCTGTGGGTTACCGGGAAGATTAAAAGACTGTCTTTCTCAGCTTCATTATATATAGTATGACACCATGCGGGGCAATGCACAGTTAGAGATCTTTTAAGTAGGCAGGGCCTCAAGAAAAAACACATGACTTTATTTACAGTGCTGAGAAAAATAACAACAAAAGCATACCAGAGCTCTAAATTGAACGAATCAGTCCTTCACTAACTACAGCCAGGCAGCAAAGCTGATTATTGACTTCAAAACCCTCAGAAACACAGTCCACATCCTTGTTCTTTCTCCCATACTGGTTCAGTTTCTTGGTTGTTCCTCAGACCCATCTTTCTGGCTGCATTTCTGTCTCCCTTCAGTGGGTTTGCACAACTAGGAATCTGCTCCTTCTTCCCAGGCCATTGTAGGTCAGGTGATGGAAGGTTAAAGGGTATACCCCTACCCCTCCAAGGCTTCTGGGAGTTGTAGTATGCACCAGATCTGCCCTGTTGTCTCCTCCTATCTTTCTGTTACAATAGGTATCTAAAATATTTGAACAGAACACCAACTGCATTTTGAAACCATTTTTAAAGGTGTACATTTGTAGGGGTATTTATATATATGAACTGCAACTCCAGGGCTTGTTTTTGGCTTTAGTTATGGACTGTGCCTACAATTTTGAATTTAGTATTCCTGAAATCATTAACAGGAACACTGTTAGGTAAGTGTCATTAAATACAATAGGATTTGCATATGAAATCCAGCCGTTAAGGTAAATCTGCATGCAAAAATCTGCTTAAAGTAGGCACTTTCAGATCAAGACCAGTTAAAATCTAGTAATCTTCAAAATAATCTATCAAGCGAAGGCTTTTTGCTTACAGGCTCAGATGAAAATACTACAATTTTTTAGTATTGGCAATGAATAAAAAAATTTAATTAAAGGCAGGCAAAAGAAAAAGAATGAAAAGAAATAAATGCCACTGACTTTAATCCTGAATATAAGAGTCACAATTATCTCTGTGGTTTTTAACTTGCTTAAAAAAGAATATTGACAAAGCAAAAAGCGAATGGCAGCTCACACACGAGACACTTCTCGGCCTTTTGTGTAGAGCCCCTGGCCGCAGTTAACGAATAGCCCAGCAGGCTTCTTCCCAGGAGTCTGGAGCAAGCAAGGGTGGGATGAACCCACCAGGAATAACTGATCGGGGGGAGGGGTTTCTTTTCAAATGGCAAAATCTAGCATCAAATCAACCCCCTACCATAATGCTGTAAAGAAATGAAATCTAAAGCAGTGGCACAAGAAGACAAGTATGATGTGCAGAACTATGCCGACATTGTTTGAGAAAGCTCTCTGCAGCATGAATCCAGCCTCGACATTTCAGTCTGCAGGATTCTTCCTTCTTTCCCAGCAGAATCTTCTAGGCAGTGGATGAACTTAGGGTAAAGTGGGTCCTGATTATACTCACTGTTTGTATTAGGGCTGCTTCTTCTGTTGATTAAATTATTCCAAAACACGAATCAAATTAAAAAGAAAATATCATCAGACTAGAGAAGAGAGAAATATAACCCATGCACATGTCCTTACCCTGTCCTTCAGTATTATTAATGAGGATATTTTTTTTCCCCTCAGAATCACGTGAATTGTCATTTGACATTCTGTGTGTGCATTTTCAGAGACGGGTTGTAATGTTGTACTGTCTCAAACGAGAGTAAAACGCCACTTAGTTAAGTTTGGGGTAAAAGATTTACAATGAATAGAGTTGGTAATGAGGTGAGGAAGTTAAGTCAATTCTGAATGAGATTTTGGTCATATGACTAATTATTTTTTATATGAACCTTATGTTGGGCAGCTTACAAGCTTTATGTAAAGATAATGAAAACATCATAAGTTGTATAAGACGGAGAACAATCTAAAATCAGAAAATGAATTAAGTACTGAGTTAAGTGGCTAATGCAGATCAGAAAAGGCGTTTACATAGTCTAGAATTCAATACAGAAATTAATTCACATAAATACTTAATAAGGCATTTGCAGTGAGATGGCAGAGCTGGATTTCTGAGTACTTTCAATAGGTGTGGAGCCAGAGAGGATAGGAGGGCAGTCTGCGAAGGTGAGTTTCGCGGAGGTGCCAGACAGAGGTGAGGGAGAGGGAGCAGTCCTGCTCAGCTGTGTGTACATTGCTAGTTTCGTCACAGAGAGGAGATGGAGTAGGCAGGTGAGACTGAAGAGCGAGATCAAAGTCCGGTTACAGAAGGGGCTGGGGCCTGCCTGATTTCTGAAAGACTCCGGAAGAGGAAGGAAGTCTGCAGAGTACAGTGCGTACTTTGGCTTGGAGAAGTGAACATAAAGTCGTCTAAGAGAATGGGAATATAAAGAGTAGGCGGTAAGTCATGAAAAGAAGACCTTCTCAGCAGAAGCAAGGGTAAACTACTTAGGGCTCACGCGGATTCCTTCAGAAATAAGGAGGAGAAAACAGATGGTATAATCTATCCAATTCAGTGACTCAGCCTCTCTAATTGAAAATTGCTGGGAGCTCCACAATCTGGGGCTATCATAGCCCTGTGCACTTTTATCCCGGGCCAAGCCTTAAGTAAAGGACTGTAATAGAGAAACATTTAAAGTGACTTCTGAAATTCCTCAGCCGTCAGTGCGAATAGGTCCTACTTGAAGTTATGTGGTCTCCTGTTTTGCTCATGTCTTTGTGTTTTGAGGCTCAGTGTCTGTACTTTTTAGAAAGCTGTAGAAAGGAGCATGAAACGGGGGGTTTAAAGCAGAGCAGTGCAATAATCCGGTCTGGATGTTCATTTCACAGGGTCGAAGTGTTATGACCTTTTTGCAAATGCGTTCCAACTGCAAGCCCCAAATTTCTCTAATGTCTAAAATTTCGCAATTGTCAATCTAAACATAAGGAATTTTAGGAATACCAGTCCTATTTTAACTTGGTTAGTCTGTTTATTTTTTTTAATGATTGAATAGGTATGTCTGTTCAGACCAAATTTGTCTTGACAAAGTCAAATGTTTAATGAGCATTGTTGCACAGAAAAGAAAATATAAAAAATGATGATAAGATCACTTTATTGGCCATATACAATTTCTTCCATTAGGAATTTGTCTTTTCGCACACCCCAGCTTGCTCTCCATGAGACACAGACGGGGAGAGAGAAGCTTGGGGTCAGAGCACAGGGTCAGCCATTTATACAGCGTCCCTGGAGCATTAGTTGCCAGAAGAAGAGTTTAGTAGGAAAAAAAATAAGTTTAATAAGAAAAATTTGCAAGGGCATGACACAAGTGACATAGCAGAATACACAGGCTGCTTTTGGCTGTTTTTTCTCAATAAATGGAAGAAAAGGAATAGTTTTTATAGATGGGATTTGTATTATGTGGCACAGTACCTGAACCACCATCACTGCTTTGATTTTGCTACCTTTTTACAACGTTGATTAAAAGGTAAATTTGGAAATATATTTTTTAAAGCAGACAGGTTCAGTGTGTGATTGTGAGGCGGAGATGCTGTAGAACACATAGGGATTATCTCCATTATTTCTCTAGCATTCTGAGAGGGTTTGATTTTTGTTGGGCGTTTTTTGTGTCCTGTTTCTTTTATATGTACTTATTTAAGTCAATACAGTGAGACTCAGTGCATGCCATTAGACTTTGTTCTCTTCCTGATGCAAAGGTGTTCAAAACTTCAGACAGGGAGGGAATACATAAAGCACACCAAAATACAGCACTGCCCAGTGCTTTTTGTAATAGTGATTTCATTTTTACTATGATGCAAAAATTGGAACATACCGGGTTCAAATACACACCCATTTCAAAAAAATATTTATAAACATTCTCCTTCCTCTTGTCATTCATTCATTTAGTTTTACTTTCAGCTTCTGTTCCACCCTGATATTGATGTTTGAGCAATGGGAGAACGGAAGAACCATTTTCCCCGCCGCGCGAGATGTCTCTCTGCGCGGCCGGCTCTGACGACGCTCTCTTTGTTTCCTTTCGGTAGATCGCAAAGTTGCGCCAGCAGCTGCAGCGCAGCAAGCACAGCAGCAGACACCACCGCGACAAAGACCGCCAGTCCCCTTTCCATGGCAACCACGCGGCTATTAACCAATCACAGGTGAGGGGCGGAGCAGTTTTCTGAAGGTGGCATGTTGGCCGTCACCATGGTAATCCGGAAGTGTCCTTCAGGTAATGGTGTCATGGGAGTTGGCCTTTGCCAAGCCTGCAGGGTGAATTCAGCAGAGGATGGTGTGGCACAGGGGCAACGTCTAGTGTGAAGTGACAAAGATCCTACAGGTGCTGTGAAATGTTTTCAGTTTGAGATGAGTGAAACATGGCATCTTGCAAGGGTGCCGCAATTCTATGACTTGTTTGAGGTCAGTCGGGGTCTTTCTCTGTGCTGGGAAAGAGTAAACTGTAAAGGGACACACAGATCAGTGGGAAACAGTTATGTTCTATAAGGTCTTTGTTAAATTGCTGTACAAGTGGCTTGCTCCAAATCCTATTCTAAAATATATTCTAGATGTAATATAAATAAAATAAAAATTCCTTATATAGGTCTTTTTCTGGACACTCCACTCAAAGTGCTTTCCGGATAATGGGGACTCCCCTCCACCACCATCTGTGTAGCCCCCATCTGGGCGATGGTGCCCCCGTACGCTCATCACACATCAACTATCAGTAGGGAGGAGAACAGAGTATTGAGGCCAATTCATAGGTGGGGGATTCTTAGGAGACCATCATTTTTACCGACCTGTTACCTTTACCACTCAAGACTGCGATTTTACGTTTTATCTGAAGGACAGCAACGTTATTTACGGTACAGTGTCCTTATCGCTATACTGGTCCCACTAACCCCTCTTTCAACAGCAACGTTAGCTTTCCCAGGAGGCCTCCCATCCAGGTACTGGCCAGGCTCACTCCTGCTGAGCTTCAGTTGATTGCCAGTTGTGAGTTGCAGGGTGATATATGTCCTTGACTAGTTTGGATTCAGATGTTTTTCTTACTTGTGTAAGAGTTCTACGGGTGTTTCAGGTTCCTTTAGAGTCACCCTATACATATGTTTTCTGAGGTGACGTTGAATTGTGTCGGGAGTGTAGCAAGGGTGATGTAAATTGTATTGCGAAAGCATAACAAGTATTTGTTCACAAACTGTTTTAATTATTTCTCGTAAGGAATCCTTTATAAACCCATGACCATAGGTTATTGGCAGAAATACAGAGACGTATATCCATTTTGAATAGAAAATAAAAGTTGTCTTTGTTTTAAAAGAGAGGTTGCAGTAGTTATGGAACGTTTTTTGTATGGGATACGTTTGTGGGCATTTTAATATTGCTAAATGTATTCATTTAAATTCATGATGGCTGCAGTGATCTGCTTTACATATTCTAGTAAACCATTTTAATACCATTTTAATTTAATACGCTTCATCATTGACATGCAAAGCTTTCATCAATCAGATGGCTGTGAAAAAATAGCCTAATACTAAGATTTGTTTTAAGACAATCTTGGCCATTGAGGAGTATTGTGACTGGTGCCGGACCCATATCCATGTGAGGCCTATGAGCAGAATAGTGCTCATTGACAGCCTTGGTATAGGTTAGGTGCTTTGCTTGTTTGGAGGTGAAACAGGCGCTACAGTCATAACAATCACTGTGCCCGTTACCTGCTAGCGCACTGCAGCACAGCAGGAAAGAGCGATTGTGCCCAAGGTGAAAGAATTTCTGCTGTGATCCCTGCCTCAGTGTTAATAGGCAAATCTTCACGCCTGTTTGTGACAATGACTTAGGGTTGACTACTGTTTTCCTGAGAATTAATTTGTGACCCCAGCCCCTTTCATATTCTCAGGCTACAGTGGGACCTCCCTCAGTATAGATCATGTGAGAACTCCTGCAGTACAGTGATTCAGACTGGCTGGGCAGAGATTCGGCTAGAAGTGAGATTAATAGGCCTTGGAGGGAAACGGCAGAAATGAGTAAAACATGCAGACGATAATTTATCCGTCAGAGGATTGGGCTTATATATTTTAAGCGGGATTGCTGTTCTGCCCTGGCAAGCATCCAGTATCACATGAATTGACTAATGTGTTTACTTGTCAGCAATAGTGGATTTCCAGGATTGAACACTGTAAAAATATTCACATTTTCTATTCCCTCTTTTCTAGTACAAATGAAGGTATACGTATTACAATATGCTGCCAGATCAATTACTAGTAGTCTTTTACGTTGCAATCTAGAAATCTTTTCAGTTTTCATAAGTGTTCAAATGCAATTCCAGAAAGATCTATTCATGTTCTTTGACCAAGTCTGCTTTCTAGGAAGAGATGAAAGCACTGACCCAGCAAACAGCTGTAAATAATCTGTGCAGTAAAAGCTCTGGCTTCGTAGAAAAAAAAACAATAGTCATTAGAGGTTCCAAGTGTAAAATTTATAGCTTTTTTTTTCTGTGAACCTAAATCAATTGTCTGTCAAATGCCTTGATTCATGGTATGTGTACGCATGCTTCTCTGAAGTCCAAACCAAAGTATCTGGTGCACAGTGCACAAGATCTTCTACAGCCTTTTCCATGCTCCAAAATACAATTTTCAGCAAAGCATTTTTCCTCTGAAGAGATTTAATTTCATTTCCTAGAAGGTACGGTGATGCATGGAAGGAGAATCTTTCAGGTTTCCTTCAGAACTGCAGTTCACTGTGTTGAAGTCACCTAAGTTCCCTTTCTTATGTAGTGATGTCCAGGTGTCTTTAAATTATCAAGACCCCCCCCCATGACCTTTGAAAAGTGTTCAATTGGTCCAAATAAGCTCGTGATTAGTGCAATTAGGTCTTTAGGAGCAGAATTGGTACTTTTGCAAATAATGTACACCTGCAGTCTGGTGTTTTGCACCAGTGTGGCAGTACAAATACTGGTCTTTTTCTGTCCAGTTGAAAAAGACATTTGCATTTAGACATGTAGTAAGTTTTTTTTTTTGTCATATGTAGTTTGGGTGGTGCAGGCTTAAGGTCTGCCTGGCAGGTGAAGACTGTTGATCAGGTTTTGCTGAGGATGCAAAATGGGATTCTTTCTCAAAATGATGCCATCGTCGGTAACAAATCTTAACTCAATACACTGTGAAACCAACAGAACTCTAGTGTACTTCATAACCCACTATTATGATTCAATTAAGAAATTTAATCAGATCTCACAATTTCTTATAAGGCATTTATATTGCTGGAATACTGTATATAGATAGAATGCAAAGATAATATATTTCCTGGATGAAGTATTTGTTTAAATGCCTGAATGAGCTGCAGTTAGTGTTTGATTCTGCACATACTATAAAGAAAGCTTTGGTTAGAGATGCCCTTCATTCTGCACACCAGGAACACCAGAGGGACATTCTATACAGCGCCATAAGAAAGAAAGGATTATGTCATCTGTAATGCTGCATGTCAGCATCTGGGTGCCTTGCAGTGCTTCGGAATGCTGAGGCCCCAGTAATGCGAGGCAGAATAATGCACAATAAGTTGATTGTTTTAACCTGTCATACAGTGTGTCAGATGTCAGATCCGAACTCACACAGAGAGAGTGCTGATGGCGCTGCCTTGCCAGGGGCTGTGGCTGTCTGAATGCAAGGAGGAAACAGATCGAAGTGTCCGTTGACGGGCTGCATAGAGACAGACCCTTGACAAAAGATCGGGCGGTCCCCAGTTTGCCATCGTGATCAGTCACAGTTGGCACTAGGTATTTAATGAGAAGTGTTTCCAGTTTTACACACCACAGGGTGTATCACCAAACACACACACGCACACTTTTTTTTATATTTGGCCATTCAAAGTCTCACTCATTGTCCACATTGTAATTCATAATATGATAGGAGCACCAACTACTGTATTTGGACTATGAATGCTACGCAGCTGCTTATGCATGAGAACTAATCCAGTAGAAACAAAAGCCATTGAAGGAATAAGTGCCTGGCATGCATTTGCATACGGATGCAAACCTAGTTCTGTTATCTCTTCTTCTGAAGACGTTTCATAATTGCACAGTATGTCTTGTAGGCATTGGCATTACTCTGGTATTACTGTGAGTCTGTGGAATGACACGGATTGTGCTGCATTGTTTTAAATAATTGGCTGTTTGCTTAAATGTTGAAGCTAAAAAAAGGGGTGAAAGCATACAGTACAGTCTATTTTTTTTTCCCCAGTCTGGTTGATTTAAGTTCTGGTGTCTTGGGATTAGTCCAGTACTTGACAGAGCCCTCTCTTTGAATGTTCGGGGGTGGGGGGGGCTTTGCGGTGTGAGGACCGTCTCTTTGGGCAGTCTGGGGAAGACAGGTGGCGGGCAACTGGCAGAGGCTCTGGCCCCCATGAAGAGTGACATGCATGAAAAACAGCCAAACAAGTGCATCCGCTCATTAAACTGCCCTGCTTGTGGAAACGGCCCAAGAAAAAAAATATCAAGGCTTTACTCTGACAGAGAAAGAAGGAGGCCCTTTTTTCTTCCTCTTTCTCGCCTGTAAGCTGCTCGTGGTATTTAATCATCTAGGCCAGGTGCCTGAAGAAGGCAGTCTTATTTGGGCTGGCATAAAAGGCTTCTTTTTTTTTAATTTGGAAAACGTGCCACTGGACATGTGAATAAGTGAGACTACAGGCAAGCGTTTTCTTTCATCCCAGCAGCAGCAGCAGCAGCGTTTGGTCAATGCAGCTACATTATGTGCTGCTGCCAGTCCTCCATTTAAGACACGCTTACTGTCCTCCCAGACACGAGGGGCTGTCTTGAGTGACTGACAGGCCCAAGCCATCCTATATCCCACACGGAGCTCTCACGTCTCGGTGAGCTAATGCTTTTTTTCGCCGGATTGTGTTTACAGTGCCTGTAAAAAAAGATTCTTCAACTGTGAGAATCTAGACAAGAATGGAAGTCATGAGAGAGGTCAGGACCTGCTTAGATACAAATAATACAATTTAGGATGATTCATTTCTTCTTCTTTTTTTTTTTAAAGTGTTTTGGTGACACAGGATCTGATTTCTCCTGTCTTTCCTTGCTGTTTTATTTCATTTTCTTTCAAAACAAAACGAAGATGAAATAAAAGCAGGCTGTTCCAGGTAATTCTGTTCCAAATGTACCCCTTCGAAGCTC